ATGTCTTACAGTTTTTCGCCTATGTATCATTATTTCATTAATTTCATTATATATACTGGGAAACATTCAAGGAATCTTTAGGGAACACAATTTTATTATGCGGGAGATATAAAGTACTCGGAAATGAATTTTTCCAACTAAATTTTCAATAACAACAGCGAAAAATAACCATTCAAATCCAAAAATTATCCATATCTACATTAAGAAAAAATATTGATTAACTTCCATTGATTTACAATGTTAATCCAATTTTTCAGCACAAAAGAAAAGGATTTTAAAATTACTCGCATGGCCAAGTATTGATTTATCGTCAAAATGATTGGATTTGACTGACTAATAAATAATTCTCTCGATTGCTTTATTACTGAATAAAGATAATCAAGATGATGAAGATGATGATCAAGAGGATGATGAGGCAACTGGAGGTCATCTTACTAAGTAGTTGGTGAGTAAAGAAGCATATACATATTTGTTCCATCATCTTGTTATTTATGTTAGCACCACCTTCAGCAAAAAAAAACTAACGGACGGTAGCATGAAATGAAGGAGAGGAAGAAAACACACTTAAGCATACAAATTGTAAACATCATTTTTATAAATGTTCACTTCAGAGAAACCACCGATTTTTATGTCCCTGTCATATTGCAATAGTTACTAGATAATTGCTATCTAATCCACACTGAGAGCAATTACACAATATAATAGATCATTCAAACGACCTTGCTACACCTTGGATTGACTGTCTGTTCAATATAATAATTAATAATAATACTTAATATTATTATTGTCATTCATTGATGTGCATATTCATGATTTCAAGTTCCTCATAAAAAATTTCATGTTAAATGTTGAAAAATAAGCATTTATTTATTATACAATATTGTTCTACTAGTTATATTACACAATTATATCATTATTTTTCATTTGAATAAATATAATATGCTAATGACTATTATAATTTAGAAATACACACCACATGACTTATAAAAGTACCAAAATCTTTTGATTATGTGTCAATTTTTTATAGTAAAAAATATTTAAATGCATTCAACAGCATGCTTAAAAAAGTAATGGAATGCTCAATGATAAATCATGAATATTGAGAACACAATTTCGTTGAAAAATGTGACACAAAAAAAAGAAAAATAAATAAATAAAAATATATATACATATATATCTGTTCCAAAAAATCACACTTTATAAATCTTCAAGATAATAATTGAAAGTTTCAAAATGTAAAGAATTATCTTCAATGATTTTCCGTAGAAAAACGGAAAAATACGTTGACCCAAAAAACAATTTTATTATTTCCAACTGTACAAGTTTTCAATCAAGTTATTCCTGAACTAAAGAATTTCTTGAATCATAAAAAATTTATCTTCAATTATAATAGCCATAAACATCTTTTACTAAAATTGTTAGCTTTTCTAATGTTAAAAAATATTGAACATTAGATGCAACGATAGAAAATATATATATATAGATATACATAAGACTTCGACATTTATTACGTAGCATAGCTAGCAAGTTTCGCAATGTAAGTACAAAGTTGCTCTCGATTTATGGGTTGAGTATAGGAATCGAGTTCTCAGGTAGAATTATCTACTGGGCATCTCAAATAGCAGGTGATTAAGATGCGACAATATCAGTTTAGTATCCATTAGTATATTTAATAGCAAGGAGGCAATTAAAAAAAAAAAATAAATAATCTAAATTGCGTGGAAATGAAAACAAATTTCACACGTGTAGCAGCACGTGTGTTCCGTTGTCTTCACAATGAGCTACACCGCTATAATGATCATCAAATGTTGCGAATGGCCTGCAGCAAAATTAACTCTTTTACATACGCCCTCGTGTACACGACTGCCAATAAATCTAAGCATCGAGTCTAAGCACGAAGGTGTGTAGCCCCAACGTGTTGCTACATACATGCAAAAGTATATGCATCACTCAATATAATAGTACCTAGCGTAGGTTAAGGCGAAGGAGTAGGCATAGCATCCTGCACACATACATCTATAAGTGTCAGTAAGATGGATAAAAAACGAAACATTTGCATTATCATGATTCTGCTGTCATTCGTAATCGGTATTAATAAAGAAATAGTTACTTTAACAAAAAAGTGCAATTAATATATGACAATAAATATGACAGTAAGAAATAAGAGCTATTCATTATTTCAATGAACATTGAGAAAATGTGGAATAAGAAAAAAAATTTCATCCATTTTTTTGACAGTCAATGAAATAATGTTATATATATATTTTTTTTTATTTTTTTAATTATAAGAAAGAATAGATTGAGATAAAAAATTACTTGGTTTGATAAATTATTGATTTAATGTGGAATATTATTTACTAAAACTTATGCAACTATGTATTCGTTAGGTATAAAATGTAACTAATTGATTCAATAAGAAGTTATTTATGCAAAAAAAAAGTTTTTAATTGATTCTATTTATTAGGTATAAATAAATTTAATTTGTTTATTAAAAAATGATTTTTTTTTTAATGTCAAACCAGATTTTGGAGTAAAAATTGAAGTATAATGTATAATAAAAAATTTTGCATAAGTAGATTTGATATGTCTTTTATGTGACTGTAAGAAATATTTTTGTCTCATGTCAATGATTTAGTATATCAATGAATTATTTAAATATTTTTGTCCCGAAAGTAGGTACATATGCTAATGGTTTCTTTTAAATTATGAATATGTAAAAATAGAGAATATTTTCAATGAAAATGGTATATTTTTTAGTCAATAAAATATTTTTTTTATGAATAATAAAATTGTTGAAATTCAGATAATAAATGTATCATTTGACATGAAATATCAAGAAATTTATTAATGAAAATTTAATTGCAAAAAAAAACTTTGATTCAATCATCAATAGAATTAATCATCTGAACCATTTAAATCTCTTTTGCTCATTGACTCATGATTTTTCTTCATCCTATAATTATTCTGAAGAGATAAAAAAAGATTATTTACATAAATAAAGTAGTTGATGGAGAATAAAAATAAAACAGTCAGTAAAATGTCTGGTTTAATATGTATTTGATTGTTGCAAACCACAATAAATAGTTCAGAAAGTGAATAAAAAGCAAAAGTCGTATTTGAAGAGAAAAGACGACACTAGACAAAGAACCAGGAATTGGGTTAGTAAAAAAAAAAGCATAGCAACATACGAGATGAGGTTCTTCTGGGATACCTAGCAACCCACCTATCTACCTACTATGTTCATGATGTCTTCTATTTGTTGGCGCGTACGCGTGCAGCCTACACTGGACGCTTGACTCGACATGAGTTCCTTCAACGAGGGAATTGAGTGCAGGCTAACGGTACTGGAACTCTGGTGGATAGGTACATAGATACTATATATTCTGACGTCGGTAAATGGTGGGGTGCAGTCAGGGTGTATGTAGGTCTCGCATGCCGATTGGCTCCGGCTGTGGTTCCAGTATCCAGCGATGTAGCGGACTCAGACTTCACCTGTTGGGTGTGCGCGCGCGCAACCATACCGGAACCCCCTTCGTCTCTTGCTTCTCTGCTTGAGGGGGCGCCCACGGAATTTCTCGCTTCGCTGACCCCCGACGAGTTTCGGCTACCACAAGTGTCGATGGACTCTCTCTCTACTCACCCTCCAAGTTAACTGGGTATTTCTTTCTTTATGATTAATTTTATTTTCTAAGTCGAAGATTAATTGCATCGAGAGATCCGTTAGATGGGAAAAACTACTACTACAAACAGTCAACATGAAAAATAGTGTGACTAATTTTCTTATACTAGATGCCCTGGAATGTTGACAAAAGAAGTCTATATAAGTACACGCCCAGTCTTGGTGCTCTTCTCAACTTGCATTTCTTCCATCAGCCGCGTGCAATGCCACGTGATCCGTGGACTCTTTCTCCCCTGTTTAGCTTACTTTGTATGACTGGTCCGCAACACACGGTTTGCAGTAGAAAAAGAAAGCGAATCAGCCAAGTAGTCAAGTTAAGTAGTAGTAGTAGTAGCGGTAATGATGATGATTGTGGTGGTGGTGGTGGTAGTAGCTACAGACATATGTTGTACTTAAAGTCTGATAATGCTTGAATCTTTCTCCTTTGCACACTTGAACTGTGTGACTAGGCTCTGCAACACAACTACTTGCAGTGGAAAAAGAAAGCGAAGTTGGCCAAGTAGTTACAGACATAGCAGACTATTTCAAGCAGTGAGTTTTTCATGTTTTAAATGAAACCGACCAAGTAAATAATATTCAACATAATAAGAAGGTATTACATTGATGAAAATATTTCAGTTTGCTCGTATAAATAGCCCACATTATATCCTTCTAGTATGATATGATAATACTTTAGCTGTCACGTCGTAACGTAAAAGCCATCGTTTATTCACTCAGTTTGCTAAGCACGTTGTCTACCTCCTCGTCGATGTCTCTGACGGCTGAAAGAGTCAGCAGCAGCAACAAGTCCAACATCGAATTCTCTCAGTCAAATAGTCATATACAGTTTTTCTCTTTCTCTCCATACGTCCTTGGTGTATCCTGCAGCTCCATAGAGCTGTTGGAAATAATATCCCCAGCAGCTAGCATACGTATATAATACTTACACATAAACTTTAAAGATCAGACCATACATACATATATATTTTCACCAAGCTTGGGAGCAAGATGTAGTGGGTGGTGGGATGAAGCATGGAGAGAAGGAGCTGGCTGGATGGGAGAGTGGGGAATAGAAGTACCGCTATGCTTGGAGTTGCCTCGGGCAAAATACATACCTACCTACCTACCTAGCTCGATACCATGCCGGACTTGTCGTTCTGACTCTCGTGCGCACACCGCACACAATTACAAAATCACACACAGTATATAGTAATCATGCTGTGTGCTGCCATCCTACCACCTTGGATATACCTGGCTATACCGTAATCGAGGCGGCCGGTGCACGCCATAGGCCGGCACTCTAGGCAAGTACCTCGGGGATCATTGCGGCAGTGGCCTGGGCCGCCTCCTCACGAGCAGACTATTGTGCTCAGGCTCTGCGCAACGTATACTCTTTTCCTGTGCGTTAAACTCTCCCATCATTGGGATCCTCAAAGTTTCCAACTGCTGAATATTCAACCACAGTACATCAATGTGTTGATAAAATAACTTTAGTAGTGTTGTAGTCAATGATACGATTCATTGCGTCTTTATCCCCCACTTGGGAAACAAGCAAACCCCAGTCAGAAACAAGTTGAGAGCACGTTGAAACTCCGTGTCGTTTGCCTCGGCTAAATGTCAAGCGACTTCAAGGAGGTGAAGTGAGGTGAATTCAGCTGTGTCTCGTGTTGACAGTAGTCTATAGAAAACCAGTGGAGTATTTTTCATCAGTGCCAATAAGTAATCATTGGATTTATCCAGGACTTACATTTGATAATCACTCGGTGTGAATTATTTATTTATGTATCGTTGATGAACTATTGATAAACGCGAATGCTTCGGTCACGTCAACATCTGGAAACGATCGAGCGCGTGTGCACGTTCCCAAGTACGTGGCGCCTCGAATCTTATTTCTTTAGCCCACAAAGATGATGTGTCTTAGTTAGAGTTTATTACTACTCTTTCCTTTTCCCCCTTTTCCTCTTCCCATTTATTCCCATTTTTTTCATTCTACTTCTTTTCTTTCGGTTCCGCGTCGTGCTTTCCGGGTTCATCGGTGTGCATCGTCCCGAACAAGTCTGTACAGATGTGACGATGATGATGATGATGGTAATGATGATGATGATGATGATGCTGTTGATGATAATGATAATGATGGTGATGATCAGTGTCGACGCGAAAATACATCGATAAACCTTTGGTATTTTCCTTCTTGACTTATTGAGAGTGCGTGTCTTACCACTTTCCCCTCGGTGATTTTACTCGTTTACTTGTCCAAGTTTTCTTTTTATATACATATACATATATATATGTATCAAGTTGTATGTTCATACATAAATAAATACGTACACCGTTCGTGAGTTCTTAATTAACTAATGAGTTGAAACCAGTGATTTAAACAAGTGATTGTATTTTAATTCATTCAACGAATAATAAAAAATCATTTATCGACTCTCAATTGATATTTAAAGTGAACATCAAGCTTCATCAAAGTCTTGCTACATATTTGTCATTTATCACAGGTTAGTGTTACTTTACATAAACAATACATTGGAGTATTATTTACAGAAGGGCGTAAACTCATGTATACTCAACAGAGAACAACGCGAACCGTTAGAGAAACGTGACACTCGTGGCATTACTATCGTTCTCTAACCCCTATATAGAAATACATTTTATTTTCATTATTATTTCACTCAACATTTTGATATTACTTTTATCATTTCATACATTTATTATTTTAATAGGGGAAAAAGGAGGAAATAAAAATTATATAAGTTTAAGTACGGCAATATATTACAACATGGTACGATGAATACTACTCAAGAGATTTCAGATCGTTAGTTTTGATTTTTCCTTCTGAAAACGCACACGAGCTCTGTGCCACTTTCACGATCTTTGCTCCTCTCAGATAATCTACGTGTATACGTTTAAGTTACCGTAGTGTTATAGAGGCGCGATTTCTGTAGGGATAAATCACGACTGAGGTAAAATATACGACTTCAGCTAAATATTCAAGATAAAAAAAAATCACAATCGAATCGATGATAATTAATGAATACATTAATTACCATGAATGTTATGTTTAGTTTTGTTACTTATTGGCATTAATTCATGTAATTTATAACAAGCTTGGAGAAATATATATCTTGCTAAACTCTAATCTTCGAGATGTATCGACAGGTGCTAAGCCCAACAACATGGTTATTACAGATCTAGTAAACCATTTTTTATACTCTGATTTTAATTATTCCACTGTGATGTAATCAACAAGGACCTCGAGTGAATTATTACGAATAACAATAGGATGCTGTGTTAATGCTCATAAGTTTTACCTTCGAAGTTTTTTCATGCATCAGGAAGGAAATATAACAATAAAGTAAAAATTAAAAAACATTTAAATTATAAATATCATCTAGTAGATCAGAAGCTTGATATTGCTGATGCAAACAGCTTGTTTTTGTAGTTGATTATTGAGAAATAGCTGCGATCGTCATCAAAGATCCACGAAAAATTATAAAGCTTCCCGAATAAATAATGAAGACTAGATTGAGGAAGAGGGAAAGACAGGGTCATAAATAGAAGCGACAAAGTCACGAGTTGGATTCATCATCAGGTCCCTTGTCAGGAGATCTGGTTTCCCTGCCGCGATTGCACAATATTCCAGTGGAATAAAACAACATCCAAATGCGAGATCGGTGAGATCGATATCTCTCGTCTGACGATCGGTAATTACTAAAGTTGCGACCACATCTGCCAATAGTCTGTAATGAAATTTAAATTTTTCTTATTACTTACTCATCTATGAGAAAATTTTTTGCATAATTAATTAGGCAATGAATTACGAGGGAAAATTGATAGGTAAGAAAAGATATTAAAAAAGGAAAAAAAATATTAATTTGAAGAATTTGTGATTTAAAATGATTTAAAAATGTTATCTAGAAAAAAACATTTTTGAAAAATTTTAATTATGTTCATAATTGAACCAGCAATCTACTGAATAAAAGATCTAATCATTTTCCAGAATTTTTTATGTGAACATGAACAACGTTTTGTTTCAAAGAATAATTAAAATTAAAAATATCATTCGTTGTGATTCTTAGAAGATTTTTTTTTCTTTTTCTACAAATTGAAAGATTGAGTTTTTTAGTGTAATCGATTTTTCATTTTAAGAACAACCAGACGATCAATTAAAATTAATTGCCAATTTTTTTATGATAATAATTAAAATATATTTAATTATAGAAAGTTGAAAAAATTATAAAATAGAGAATTACCGTTAATGGAGTTTTTGAATTACTTAACCAGCTATTTTTAAACACTTAAATACTCAATTAAATCTAATAGAAATTTTTATCTTAATCAAAATAAGAATACTAACAATTATTTGCAATAACCTCTACAGAATATCTTTGATAAAAAAAATTTTTATCATTAAACAATAAATATTTAAATTTAAGCCAAAATAAAAATAATTCCATTATCATTAATGAAATAATAAATTTATTATAATTTATTCAACTTTCATATTAAAAATAATTAAATTCTGAATTAAAAACAATTAAAAATAAAAGTAAATTACTAAAGCTTGAATAAAAATACTTACCATTTATAAAAATCAAATAAATTCGATTTCAAGATTAGAAACCCTCCTGTCAGACGAAAAACATGAAACAGTAAAACAAAAAAAAGATTTTTCGTACATTTAAAGACAACAAGTAAACAAGTTGCGTGACGCGCGTGAGCTTTCGCAGGTAATAAAATATAAAATTCTAATTAATAAAATTCCTCATGTCCACAATCCGCAACCGCGTGATGCCGCATTAATTACCATCGGCAATCATAGTGGTATGGCAATAGCTAATGAAAGAGGAGAGAGATGAGACGGCGTTACACTTTATTGTTATCGGTGTGCGGGTGCGAGGAGTCTATTGTAATTACCTCCTATGGCTCTGCACGTAACAGGGTCAGTCAGGCCCGCATCTCTATACCGATCATATACACCAACTTGATGTTCCTGAATGTATGTAATCGTTAAGTTGTACGTGAATCTTCCTAGCACTTAGAGGTATTAGAAAATCGGCAGGAAACGTTAACTTCTTGGGAAAATTGATTTAACCTTCTTTATACTTACGAAAAAAACCATTTGTTCCCGTTATAGAGAGCATATTTTCTTCTGTTTTTAATATTTCAAGTAATAAAAACATTTTTGTTAGCTTATAAAGCACCTAAACAATAGAATGATAAAGATTGTATGGTTTGTATTAGTGTCAGGGTTGGCCGAGTACACCGATCCCACGGTTAAAAGATGGGTATCTCCGTTGTTTGGTAGTTTCCTTTGTTTTGGCCACGGTATCGGTCGACTTCCTGCTATTTTCTACTTCCCTGGGCGACGTTCCAAGTGGAAAAAAAAACAGCATGGATCCCATCAACTCGGCGTGCACAGTCTTACAGACCATTCAAAAGACACCGAAACGGAGATTAGTAAATAAATAAAAGGGAAAAAGAGACACTTTGAAATAGTAAAACCGTTAAGCTCGTAACTCAGGTTTCAAGAGATTCCGTGGAACGTCGAAATAACCCGCGAGGCGATTTCGTGTGCGATCTAGATCACGATTCACGACACTCCCATTTGCGAGGTTTAAATCTACTGATAAAGAGAGAAAAAAAAATGAAAAGAGAATTTTTTTTAATAACAAACTTATTTGCATATTTCAACCGTTATCTTATTAAATTATTTCTTAAGATGAATTCACTTGAGATAATTCATTCAATCAAAGATTCATCTAATTCGTGCACTAGACTATTAAATTGTTTATATTAATGATTAATGATTCTTCCTTCAGCTCAGTAATTGATAGAAAAAATTATTTCTTAAGGAAATCATTTATAATTTTCTTTTTTAATAAATTAATTAATTGAAGATTGAAATATTTATTATTGAATAAGGATAGAGTTTTTTTTTTTCATCAGTAAATTTTTTTTGCAAAATCTAAAGCAATATTTTTCTATAAACGTTCTTTCAATGTAAATAGATGTAAGAACTAATAACTTTTCAGTATTTTGAAATTATCATAAAAGTAAAACTTTATTTATTCGAATGAACATTGAAGTGATTTAAATAAATTTCCCTTTCCACTTAAGAATGTTCCATAATGCATAAGTTGAACATTGAGTTTATATTCAATTGCAGAACTAAAAAAAATAATTTTCCACAGTAGAAACCGACTAGTAAATAAGGCTGTGTTATATACGAATAACGCAGTTCATGGGGTTAGTTCGCGGCTTTACTGAACGCGTTGGCGGCAAAGAGAAATTTTGCGGTTGTTTATCTCATATTACAAAAATTTAAATGAGAATCTATCTAGTCATACTACAGACGCATCTCTCGCTTATAAAACGAGATATCATCACGAAAGTATACGTACGTACACGTTTATTTTCCCCTTAGAGATATTACGATGCGTATATATATATTTTATTGCTACATCAAAACACATGTACTCCAGTCAATCTTTCATTAAATCTTTAGGCTTTTCAAAAAGTATCCAACTACACGTAATTCTCTTTCAGTAAACTCAAAGTATGGATTGAGATGAGGATGTTTAGTATAGAGAAAATTTCATTCAATTTATTTCAAGTCATTCTCATATTTTATTTTTCAATCAGATAATTTAAGATTTATGTAAAAAATCTCATATTTTTTAAAGAAAATTTTATTTGAAATCATTAATTGTGTTTGTTCATGGGAATTAATTTTTTAAAAAGACTCCAATTTCGTTGGAGAAACAATGTTTTTTTTTTTTTTCATAATTCTTGAGAAAATTTAAATTACTTTCGAAATGTTATGATTCATGTTTGCTTTACTTCCTTTTTATGATCAGTTCACCGCATATTCAGACATTTTAAAATAAGACACATTAAATGTTTGTAAAAAATAAAACACGTCGATACATTCAATGCTGAATATCATAAATAAAGTCTTTTGTAACGGATTTTAAAATACTTTTAAACATTGAAAAATCGACTACAAAATTTTTATAGCTACTCATGACAATATTTACATCGAATGCATTCGATGTTTTATTTTAAAGTCATTCTTTAACACTTTGATTTGCGATGCTGTCAGCTAATAATTCATTTAAATTTATTTTCATCCATTTCTGTTATGAAATTTGAGATTCTTTTATTTTTATATTTAACAAAAAAAATAATATCAGAAAAATTATAATATGTAATACAGTCTTAATGGAGTTGCGAAAATAGTAAAATCATTTTTGGAGTAAAAATTAATCTTTCTATTAATCTGATGTGCTAAACAGTAACATTATTAATTTATAAAGTCAGAATAGTCATGATTTTTTACAATCGAAACACAAATGAACTCTAGTTGTTAATTCACACATCATAATTATTCCTAAGAAGCTCAATAATATTTTTTTTTATTTACATATCAGTGAATTTTTTACTATTGAATGATAAAAAAAAATTATTGATCAAGTAGTTATTTGCCTACCATTAA